TTTATTATCAGGGGGAGGGGATTATATGATGGGGAGATTGCCGTTATGCTACTACGAAGAATATTGCCTGAGGCAGCCTCGGGTTGCACCATATGATTTTATAGTTTAAAGTCCCAGTATCCCCTCTAACCCGTGTAATACTCACCTATAGAATCCCCTATATTACCCCCGTTAAAGGAATTTAGAACGTAGCTCATATTGGCAGTGGTGGAGATCCTCCTCGTTCTCTTCCCCCACATCTGTCCGCTCCCTTGCATGGTAGCTTTCACCTGCCTGGGCAGCGTGTGCACGCAATGCATGGCCAGTTGACCTGAAATTAATGTGAGTAGCATTCTTTGGTGGTTGAGCCCAGTAAATTCTATTCTTTATATATACATATATATATACATACGCTACCCAAAAGGAGGATGTAATTTCAGTCTATATTGGGAACCATGGTATTCTTGGACTTCAGTCGGTCAAATAGTCGATAGTAACAAGAAGCGGGCGACAATTCAGTCAAGAATACTCAAAATAGAGCTGCACTAGTATCCCCAAATAGAATAATACTCATATGAGCCACGATCAACATTGACAAAGGCATTCGATGGAGGTTGTAGGGCAATTACTTATTGGACACGGATTTCTATCAGAGGGTATATTTGGGACTATGCTAAGCTACCAATCCCCAAACCATAATCCCTAAACCCTAAACCCTGGACCAATGGGACACCCATGTCCACCCTTAATGGTCATGTGATAAAGCTAGTATTGACAATAGTCCATATAAAAACCCTTGGGGTTGCCCATATAAACCCCAATACCCCTACATGCCCAAAAGCCCAGCTTGCATTTCATGTTCCATCTTCTTTCCCATGTGATCCTCATTTATTGGGGTAATAACCCTAAATGACCCTAAAAACAACTTTCGACTTGTTTTCCATTATCTTACCCATTTGATTCTCCATTATGGTAGTCTCCTTTATTCTTTTCCACAACCTTGAACCCTAAGCCCTAAACCCAAAACCCTAAACCCTAAGCCCTAAACCCCAAACCCTAAACCCTGCTCACGTGGGGCTCCGACTCTGATAGTCTGAGCTCCGTATTGAAGAAGTTCCTGCAGATGGAGAATGACACGGAACCTGGTAGCGTATAGGGTTTAGGGTTCAGGGTTTAGCTTCTGGGGATAAGGGCTTCGGACCAGCCCTTTCAGCAAGTTAGGCGCATGATTCACATTCTCCCTATATAATCCCAATATACACCCTATAATCCCTATATAACCCCTATATAATCCCTGAAGTTTCCATTTTCTTTTCCATTATCCCTATATAATCTCTATATGTACCCTATAATCCCTATATGACCCCAAGCTATTCACATGTGCTTTGAACAGAATCTGTTGCAATGGTACAGCAGGCCATGAGCTCCTGTCCTAAACCCTAAACCCCAACCCTAGGGTTTAGGGTTTAGGGGGTTTAGGGGTTAGGGTTTAGGACCCTAAACCCTAACCCCTAAACCGCGTGTCCTGGCGCAGAACCTCCATTTCCGCCTCCTCGCCATGCTCAACTTCCTCCTCCGTCTGGGAGCAGTCCTGCCCGAAGGAATGGCTGAGGCCTCGGAGAGCAGGAGCTGTATAGTGTAGGGTTTAGGGTTTTATGGTTTAGGGTTTAGGGCTTAGGGTTTAGGGGTTTGGGGATCATACTATATTGAGACGGCACGGGTTTGAGGGAGCTTGCCGCCTCAACAATCCCAAATCATTCAATGTTATCACTTCTTGCTTCTGTTAGCTACAGACACAGGTACTTTGGGCGTAGCTCATGTGCGGATTATTCTGGGGTTTAGGGGTTGAGTATTTAGGGATAAGATAAGCCTTATTCTGGGCTTAGGCTTTGAGGCGTAGAGGGAGAATATTAGGAGTTATATTATACCCAGCGGGTGCGTTTGCAGGC